ATATAATATATTAATATATGTATGTATATATGTATGTATATATATAGTATGTATATATATATGTATGTATGTATATATATATGTATGTTATATATATATATATATATATATATATTATATATATATATATATATATATATATATATAAATAAACACTAGTAGTTTGTAATGGTAAATAAGAATGACTAGGCAACACCTTGAATGATCTGACGTGCAGATACAATGGAACTCAAGGTAGTGTGAACTCTCCTAAACCCTGTGCTACAATGCAGGCAAGAACCATGTATGTTTTACAAATGAAGGGCAGAGAGGTAATGGTCTAGTGATGCAATGACTTAAAGGTCTTTTCCAAGGAAAATTATTTAGATTCCATAAATATTAATCTGGTATGTCTAGAGCAATATATAAAAACACAATGCAGGATGAGTAGGAAAAAAATAAATATGATCAGAACGGGAAAAATCGTAATATTCAAGCCAGACTAGTTTGTTAAACACAAACTGCAAGTAGTATATGAAAAATAATCAAAGAAATATTATGTAGGTATGTGTGACATTGTGCAACTTTATGTCAAAAAATGAAATATGGATAAGCCAAGAACATCCAGGACTGTTGTATTTCTGTATATAGGCATCATCACATTCATACATGGAACAGCAAGGGATTCATGAGATGATAATATAAAGATTTCTTCAAGCTGGTAGTGTAGTGTCAAGATTGTTTGGAATGTAATATTCAATGCATGTATTAACCCAGTGGTTGCGGTGTTATGCAATACAGTGCGTAACCCCGTAGCAATATTTATTTTACACTTGGGCAGTGTGGGAGACTGCGCAGGAGTGCACGCACTGTGGCGGTGCTGCTTTCCCTCTTTTGCACATACATGGGGTGGCAGCCTGGGCCATGGAAGACCATAAGGGATACACCCGCTTAGCTGCTGACATCCCCTGGCTAGCTTAGCTTCCAGGCCACGTGGCCATGGGATTTGCCCTCTATTGCACTTTGCATCAAATCATACCATCTGTGACCAATGGGTTGAAAAAGGTAAGACTAATGTAAGAATATTTACCTCATCATAATCCTCATCCTTCCTCTGCTCTTGCCTCTTGACAGATCTTTCAAAGTGGTCAGTCAGGGACTTCTCTAGTATTCTAATCAGTTCTGTAATCTGATCATTAGTGAGGCAGCCCATTCCGAGGACCTCGATACACTTGGCCATTGCATACATGTGTTCTGACAAAACCTCACACTCGGGCTCTGTCTCAATAGCCTTGAGCAGCTCAGGGCACATATACTGCCACATTTCGGATAAGTACTGCGGACCCTTGATCTTGGCACATTCTAGGAGGAACGGCAAAGACTCAGCAGCAGCTGTTCGGACTCCATCGTGGAAATAGAACTTCAGCATAGGCACCATCAATTTCACAACCTACAAGAAAAAAATAATGAAATAACAGATTTGGCCTAAGATGTATATGCACAAACACATATCTTAAACTATATCTATCTATATATATATATAGATAGATATATCTATATATCTACCACCAAACCCCAACCCACTTGAAAGAAATTGCCCACAATGTTCTCAAGCTATGACCAACCTGTTCAGTGTAATCCGCAAATCCATCCTTCAGTTCTCTGGCATAACATACGAGCATCTGACAAGCTGTAGCCTTCTCCTCGAGCCCTGCCGTGCGGATACCAAAGTTCTGTTGCTCTCCAATTGATACGAACTGCCAGTCATCATCACCATCAACAGCACTCATGTCCTCATTGTCCAACAGAGCAACCTGAAAATATTGTTAAAATTACCTTCCAGCAACAATGATTAATGTGCTCAAAAAGATTGAGAATAAACACCTTTTTCTACGTTGGGGAGAGAGAGAGAGAGAGAGAGAGAGAGAGAGAGAGAGAGAGAGAGAGAGAGAAAATATCATTAACCTCACCTCAGGCTTCAGAGATGCAGTCTTAAGTACTGGACCCATTACCAAAGGCAGGTAGGGCTCAAAGCGCTTGCCCATGATTTTACAGATACGGGCCCAAGCAGAGATAAGGTAGGAAACCTGTGGATCATCATCTGCCATTTCCTCCTGGTTGGTCTGGGCCTTCAGCAAAAGGTCCATCATCTTCCCAGCATCAGTTAGGAACTGCGGGGAAAAATTTGGCATTCTTTTCAGAAAAAGTGACAATTAAACCATTACCAACACACAGATATACACACTTTTTTTTTCTTCAAAGATAAAATACTATAGATAAGTAGACCTACCTTGTCGGCTCCAACGGCGAGACCAATGAGAGAGACGCACTCTATTGTCTTGCCTCTGAGTAATCTAAGTTCTTGAGAGTTGGCATTTTCAATGATGTACATGAGGCAGGGAATAAACCGGTCATAATACTCTACAAAGTTCTCCTCTGCTGTGTCTGCCACCGACGCAATAGTGGTCACCACTTGCTCCAGGACCAGCTTTGTGCCGCGCTCCATCAACTGCACAGAAAAGAAAATTTCCATTAATTCTTACTCTGTTATGAAGATAGACACACACACACACACACACTGTTAATTTCCTGAACAAACTTGTATTCATCTTGTATAGTAATGTAAAAAAAGGGAACCAAGATGGAAAAAAAACTAACTTCCTTAAACTTGGCAGCAAGAATGCTCTCTAACTTGGCAATAATGGTAGGCAAGTAGGTGGTCAGGATGTTCTTTGGGCAGACCTCGGAGAAGTTGACCAGGGCGGCTCCAGCATGAGCCTATTGAAAAGAAGAAAAAAATTATGTTCCCAAGAAAAGGAGTAAAACCTGAAACTGGGCTTTATTAATTGATCTTTATTTTTATAATCATTATTTTGAGATTGCAAGAATCAGACAATTAAAAACAGAACCATGGATGAAAACCCACCTGGACTCTTGGGTTAGCACTGTCATCCATCACCAGGAGGAGACCAGGAACAACTGTGTCATGGAATTTCTTCTGGAAGATTGGAGCAAAGTCTGTTGCCATCTGGCCAATGGCATTACATGCTGCATATCTAACTCTGGGATGGGGATCCTGCAGGAACCTGATGACAGCATCCATGATCTGAAAGAGTACTTTGTCTATAGTTGCCATGTTGTGTAATTTAGCAAGTTTAAACACAATCTGTATTGTCACACATTCTACAATCTAAAATGAAATCCATATACATTATGATGAATATTTTCTTGAAAATTAAATAATTATTGCACTGGTTTCAATAATGTGACAAAATTAGCTGTCACCACAAAGATCCATTGAATCTATCACCAAAATTACAGACAAAAGTTTCAAGTACACACCTGAGGCAACATGCCCTCCATCTGCTTATGGCAGCCCTCCCCCACAGCTGAGATGGCCATCAGAGCAGCATGGCGGCACTTCCAGCTGTCACTCTGGAGCATTTGTGAAAGAGTGGAATTGATGTGTGGCAAAACAGTCTTGCCACCAAGACCACATGCAAGACGGTCAAGAGAAGACTCGGCCACTACAGAGTTGCTGTCATTATCTTCCTCAGCCTGCTCGTCACTCACACTCCAGTCCTATAATAAAAGAAAAGGGTATATTTGAATCATTCATTACGTTGTGTAAAATACATGCAATACATAAATGAAGGGTAAAGAAACAGCTGTCATTCCTATGATTATTCCAGACATTAAAATGGATACCCAAAACCATATAAAAATTACCTCCTCATCTTCGAGATCTGTCATCATGGTTAACATCTGTGGGATGAGCATGTTCATATACTTGGCACCAGCCTTGCGCACCATTGCTGGGGCTGTCTCTGCCAAAGTTACAACAACTTCCAACAGCAGATGCTTCCAACTGTCACCTACATTGGGATCTGGTAGAGCCTGTCAGAGGTAAAAGGGAAAAGACCAATTAGAAAAATTTATTAGAAAAAATGATAACCCAGATAAAACCATCAGTAATATACTACTACTGTAACACCTATATATTTCTGAGAGTACTCAATAAATAATACATTGGAAAAAAGTTCAACGGCCAAACCCTTACTTTAATGGCCAGCTGGAGGATGGTCTCAACCTGCGGCCGCAGGAACTTAGGGCAACTCTCTGCCAAGTCAACCAGGCACTTGAGCAAGGCATCATCATCACCAACCTGGATGCTTGTGGCGATGATCTATTGGGAAAGTCCAAGTTTTGCTCATTAGCCACATGTAATATCAAACAGCATAATTCAAGGCATTTGGAATTAAGTAATAAATTTTAAAGAGATGGAAAATTTTGCCTCCTGAGTAATACACTGTACCTGGAGAAAAGATGGTAGAATATCAGCAAAGCTCTTCTGGATGTTTGGCTCGTTATCGTGAAGAAGAATAAATGCTGCAGTGGCCTTGACAGCCAATGCCTGAACTGTGGGGTTTGCAGCATCCGCTAGAGAAGTTGTTAGCATAGCTTTGATCATACCCAAGTGTTGCTGCTGCTGGTTACCAAACACTCCAGGTACAAGACTGCAATGAGATGAAACAACATTTAATGATCACATGTTTCAGGATACTTAAAAATAGGTTTTGTTAAGACCATTACCAGTTACCTCCATCTTTAATAAATGGATATACCTACATTTATTTGAAGACTAAACTTTTTGTAATTACAAAATTGACATCCCAGTACCAAATTTTATATCTGAAGAATAACATTACATAATAGTATGGTGGCACTATCCCCTGGCACCTACCTGAAGAGTGTCAAGGCAATTTCTTTGTGAGCTATAGATGCAGAGCTGGCACTCTCAAACAAAAATTGCAAGAACTCTGGCCACATGTTATTTCCTTCATCATCGATCATGTTGTGTGCCAGTTCACCGATGATGTCACACAACTTCTTGCGCATATTACTGTCTTCTTCCTGTTGTACAGATGCCAACAGCTGTGCCCGAACTTGGGCTTGGGTCTCGGCTGGTAACTATAAGAGGCAAATAATTACACATCTTTGCAAAGAAAAAAAAAGTATGATTAAACTGTTAAATATTGGTAAATGATACAAACAACATTTCAATACTGAAGAGTACAATCAAAGAGCTAACAGATTATAATAGAAAAGATTAACATGTGAAAGAAAGCTAAGAATATATTTATCAAATATTTCCTTTCCATAATCATAATCTCTTCAAGAAATAACACTTACCGTTGGGAACACATCATCGAAATTTGATGTGAGAAGCCTCCGGAGGAGGACTGCAGCCATAGTGCGTGCATCTTCACCTGCTGCTTTGTTTACAACATTGGTTAACAGCAACTGGAACTTTGTTTCATTGGGGATCTGATCATATGTGTTCTGGAAGAAAAGAGAGAATCATTAGTATAACTTGTTAGGAGGCAGCAAACACTAAATCAGGATTGTAATCTTATTCAAAAGGAATGCCTGAATGCAATGAATAATGGACTGTTAAATGACATTTATCTCCTTGCATTTCCAAGAATTTAATAAATGTCATGAATCATCATGGCTCTAAAACTAATGTGCATACACACACAGGCGTGCACACACACACAAATATGACTAATCCCTGGGGATAAGCAATGACAATACCCAGAAAACAGTCATTGCTTGGGACAGGTCTCAACATGACTCAGCAACCAAAAAGCACACTTGGTGACTTGCTGTAGTTAATATCCATCTTTTGCCCACATATATCAGAGGGCAATGACCTTGCCATTATCAACAAAACTTTCTCATCTCTCCATACTAAATACTAGCTGTGATCTATAATTACAATCGGACTGTCAGCAAACACTACAAGACTTTCCAATCAGTATCAATAAACAAATCTCTAAAAAGGACAGTCATTAATCATGAAGCTGGAATGCATAAAATTCAACATACACAGGTAACTCTTGAATATCTCCTTAACCTAATGAGAAGTATGTACTAAAAGTAATCTAACTCATGTAACAACATGCATATCAACACACCAACAGGGTAATGCAGTATCCTGCCCAGCCTAGTCATTATGGCTCAAAATTGGAGAACCTGAACTGTGCACAAGCAGCATTCCTGCCAGGCAAACAGGATCCTCCTCCTCCTCCTCCCACAGTCAATGTACTTGTACACAATAAAACATCTGTCGTTTGATTTTTAAAGGTATGTTGGGAGTGGAAATACAACCTTTTCACTTGTCATCTCCCTTCAGCCAATAGTGTATAAAACAATACTCATACTTCCTTACAAGAATAAAATTTATTCATTCCTGTGGTCAAAATACCTTGCCCAGTTAACTTCAACCACACTAGATATTCCTATCATAGATGACAATAATGAAAAACAGACCAAGTTAATTTTCTGGAAGATAGAAAATGCTACCCCTGCAACCATATTTCTATAATCATCTATCAATAAACATTGCTTTTAAGCTTCCTTTGTAATATGGAAATAGTCCACTTTACTCCCAAATCAGATAATACAAATACCTGAATCATGCATGTTCCACTTCCCTCTGCCACTTACAATGCATTTACTGAATTAATCTACATTACTTTCCTCTTTTGCCACATTCAGTCACACAATCTGGTTGATAAAAACATCCTAGTTGCTTAGAAACAGAATTACTGGCACTAACATTAGCATTTGTATAGTTTTAGTAGTAGTAATCGTGGTCAATCCGTTTACATTCGTACTAGGAATACAACAAATGACTAAACGAAAAGAGATAGATCACGAATCAAAACCTAAACGTATGACAATGTATGTAATGCACGTGTTCCGAAGCCCATGGAAATCTCTTCTCTCAAATTCATGAATTCGACAGCGATATCCTTCCTCGTGTTTCTCGCGTAGCGTATTTTGAAGGGCACGATAAAATAAATAAAAGAGATAGTGGCGTCTAAAAGAAAACAATTGAATAGAAGACCCCATTTATCATAAAAAAAAATACATCCCGCTCTCATACTCTCTTGCTCCCCTCCCTTACTCGCCCCCATGATTACAAGTCTCGCAATGAGGACATATTGTTGAAGAAAGAAGAGGGAAAAAAGGCAATTAAATCCTTTTGAGAACTCCGAGCACCAAGACGGGCGAACACCAAGTGTACAATGGCAGCCCAAAAAGTTCCATGTTCGTGCAGCGTTTGCCTTAACGGGCAGATAGGAACTTTTAATTCATTTACAAATAAGGTATACCCAACCGCCAGTCTACAAATAGATACGGAGATGGCCAGAATTATGCGCACTCCAAACGGGGCTACTTATTGAGGAAATATCCGTACATGGTGACGAATGATAAGATCTACTGTAAAAGTACCAAGCAGGCGTTTGCTGCAACACTCCCACTTTGACCTTCAAACTGTGAGCACACGCCAGTGCTGCCAACACCCGCACCGTCCCCTATCACCTTTGTGATATCACGTAACGCTCCTTCGGCGATGCTGATGGCTAACGTAAATTTACGCTAGAAACATGGATCACCTCAAATAAAGTTGCACTCCAGTGGCAGTTGTTCCGGCGAGGAAAAAAGGAGGAATAAGGAACGTCGCCCTAACGGGAAGACCTTAATAACGCTGCACCGCGAGAGGGAGATGGCCGGTGATGCCGTCAGGCAGAGCATTTTTTTTCTCTATTCCTAATTCATTATCAACTATCCTTGTATTTAGCTACATAATTTGAATCTAATGCCACGAAAACTCATTAAGACAATCTCTGTGCAATATTCGTCAAAGCAACAACCCGGGTCGAAAATAGCAAGGAGCGTGGCCGAGAGACTTAAGTTCCCGCCAAAAAAACAAGAGTGGGTTACGAAGAGGGTCCATGAACTAACAGTTCCTGCTGGCTTGTACCGCCACTTTAGAGCTCTGCCTACATGTACGAGGCGTGTTTCCCCCCTCATTCTCGCTTCAGAAAACGGCAGATCATCGCTGCGAGAAAATCCAAGTGAACAACGGAACGAAAGAGCCAACACCGAGGAAGGCGGCCATTCAAGTCCGTAATAACGAAAAAATGGGAAGGTATCTTTCCAGGAGGTTTCCAGTCTTCTCCCTCCTAACCCTCCTAGCCTCCCGTCCCACCACACACGCTTTCACCTCCCCCCACCTTCCTCTCCGTGACCTAACAGAGGGGGTAGGAGAATCATCAGGAAGATGTGTATAAGGGGGGTAGAAGGGAGGGAGAGGGAGAGAGAGGGGGGGAGGAGAGAGAGAGAGAGAGAGAGGGGGAGGAGAGACAGAGAGAGGGGGGGGAGGAGAGACAGAGAG